AGCCTCTAATTTGCAAACTATGGAAGATGTTTAAAAATCTGCCACCATCTTACCCTATGCTTTGTTCTCTCTCAGTCTCAGACGTTTGCCCAGTCTCTTGTTGGTTGAGGGCCCAGGTAAGTTCAGAGGAAGGGCAAGGAGCTAAACTAAAGCACATAAACAAAACCCTCAAGGGATCAGGAAGTTGGTCATTCCTGAAGTTAAGTTTAGTAAATTGACCTTCAGTGAGCTGGTCCAGAACCCAGCTTGAGCACCTTCTCTAAGAAGTGCCTCTTTTTCTGTTTTCAGTGCTCTCCAGTGCAAACTCGGCATTTACCAAGGTGCTGGGGTGGTGATGGTTTCAGCACTCACCTCTGACTATAAGATGGAAAGATGTGTTAGTTAGCAAAGCATTTTGTGGAGCCTGAGAGAAACTTTAGTTGTACATTTGAAGGTCCGTAGATGATGTTGACTTGGAAATAACTACGTTCACCTTATTCCAACCTTCTTTCCAGATCCATTATTCATCACAGGGCCTTAGTGATCCCCTTGGTTGGACAGGGAGCGTCCTCATCGTTGCCCTACATACCGTTACGTAAAGCCTCTGGAGAATCCTGATCATACCCAGTGATTGAAGATGATTGAAAATGCATATTGTTTTCCTCTTGGTCGTCAGCATAGACTCGGTTCCCTGATCCTCAAAGACACCTATTGTGCCTGGCGTCCCCCCAAGTAGTTTCCAGAATGTCAGACAATTTGGACTTTGCAGTGTTCCCACTGGGAGGGCAGCCCCAAGAAAAACGATGATTTCTTTCAAAGACTGCATGTTCAGTTGCATCATTCTGCCATTTTCCTTTCACTTTGTGAAAGTCAGGGTCAGCTTGTGAAAAGTTGTTAAACAACTTGCTCAAAGGGAAGCATCAACGCTCACACTAAACTTCCCCGGTTTAGAGCAACAAATGAAGAAATCTTTGAGGCTATCGACTGACTTTCTATCTGGGTATTCCATTGAAGGGAGTTTGAAAGTTATTGTCTGCCCGTGTCCTACCTAAAATACCATGGTTGTTTATGCAAAGTAGCTTTAATAAACCTGGATACAGGTTGGCTTGGCCCAAGTAAAACATTACCCTCTGTCCCTGAGGTGAATTACCAGGTATTTGTCTTTCAAGGGACAGAGGCCTTTGAAAGCCCAGAAATGGGTACAAGGACAAGCCCCCTCTAGATGATCCAGCCTGTGGAGGAGACTAAGAGATTAGCAGACATTTTGCATGGACATTAGCTTTTTTGTCCTTGCATACATTCTCCCGGAAAAAATATTTTTTCTTCTCAGCTTTATTACATTAGAAAAAGTTATAATTTTTTTCTACAGTTGTCTGTTGGATAACATTGGGTTGTCCTTGCTCCTCCAGAAGAGAGCTTACGTTTATTGAGTTATTCTCACAACAGTGCCCCTGCGGCACACCCAATTCTATCAAGCACTAATAATCCTATATTGCTTTTCTTTTTATGTCACTTGCATGGTTTAGCAATGTCCTTTTTGTGTAGGCACAGAAAGGCAGTTCATGCTATGCTTTTGGCAATATGGAAGTTAATTGACTCCAAATAATATTTACTCTATGGCATCCATCCATATTTACTTAACTTAAGCCTCAGTTGCCCTTAGTTCCTAGCACTCCAAAAGCAGGGTCCCGAGGAAGGGACTGGATGGACCCTGGGCAAGCTGTATGCTACCCTGGCATCTAAAGGAGACATGCTAAGCACCATAAGTATAATAATTTAAGAACATTGTCATGGAACAAACTCTGCTAAGAGAGGTAGAGGACTTTGAGGTCTACGAGGATGACAAGGAGGAAGAGGAAGACTATGAGCACCAGGATAATGGAACTATGATGACTAGGACTACGACCAAAACTATGACTATGATTGTGCTATAAGGGGAGAGATAGGACTACGCTGGGGAAGAGAGAAAAATAAACTGTCCACCAATAAGCCTGGGGCCTTGTTCCTCCATTCCCGTGGTCTTTCATCCTTCCATCGCCATGGACCAGCTCGGGGGGGACTCTCAGCCACTGAACGCTAGCATACCCATGCATACCACCCTACCTTCCTTTTGAAACTCACAGTTATCTATTATAGGCTTACTAGATGCTGGATTCTAGAGATCAAAAGTGATGGGATGGTAGGGCCTGAGTGATAGTACAATGGGTAGGGCACTTGCCTTATATGTGGCGGATGTGGGTTCAGTTCAGAGTATGCCATATGATCCCATGAGACCTGCCAGGAGTAATCACAGAGTATAAAATGAGAAGGCCCTCTGCAGGTGTGGCAACATACTTAAAAAAAAAACTGATGGGTGGTAAAATCTGCCCTTGCCATACATTTCATACTAACAAACGTTGACAATCTTGATAGTGTGAATGTATGAATGTAAGACAATGTATTAATGTATGAATGTATGAAATGCGTGAATGTATGAAATTCCATACATGCCATACTAACAATTATTGGCAATCTTGGTAGTGTGCCATTCTGCTTTCTCTGGTGAAAGGACAAAGTTTGTACATGTACAGAGGTATTCTAAAATATTTATAGGGCTTCAGCACAAGATGGTACGTATGCCATGGCGAACATAAACTTGACCAGAGCACTGAGGATGCAAGCGGAGAGGGCAGAGGAAACAAAATGCTGAAACAATTAAGGAAGATGGAGGAGGAGTGGATGGTTATGTCAAAGGATAATATATAATAGAGAAGCAATATCATGGAATAAGGATGCAGAATGTTTTCATCCATCATGGTGGAAATTAGGGAGTGACCTATTTAGCATTAATCCTATAGACTTGGGTAAGTTTATCTGCAGAGATAAACCATACTTTCTCTGGACCATGCATGAAAACATATTTGAAAAGTAGCCTTTGTCCACCTTGGACATTGACCCACATCTCCACCTGAGATGTGTACTGTTGCTTTTTTTTTTTCTTTTTTCGGAAAAGAATATGTTCCCTCATAACACACATTTCTTTCCCTCCCCTCACACTTTCCTAAATAATTTTCTTTAAATAAAACAAGTTTGCTTAAGCACAAAGTAAATAAATAAGAATATAAAGTAGTCTTTAAAACAAGTTTTTATCGCTAGATTGATAGCTGTTGACTTAGATATTTGTGACTCAAAATATAGCAAACTATTCATGTTGCATTTTTTAAAACCTCATTCTGCCCAAACAGAAGGATTGATTTCACACTTTACAAAAGGCAGCGTCACCTCTGATCTGTGAACCATTTTATTTCTTACACAACTTACTGTTACAATTTGGTCTACTGCTTGGTTGGGAAAAGGCCTTTTCCTATCTCACTCACTGCAGAGCAATCCAATTTTCTTGTAATATCCATCTGGTGTTTATATCCATGTAGGGGCTCCTAGAATTAGATCAGAAATATTCCATGTACAATGAAGCCAAGATTTATGGCACTGGGAGAGAGAGAGAGAGAGAGAGAGAGAGAGAGAGAGAGAGAGAGAGAGAGACTAACTGAGATAAAGACAGAGACCAAGGAAAGCTAATATTTCTACAAGAGGCAGAATGGATATCCATACATATCTTTGGAAGGCTAGCCATGCATTATTCCTGTTTCCTTTCTTGCAACATTAACTGTGAGGTTCCAGTTGGTATTAACCTTCTACCCAGGGCTGTAGCATCCCTGACCTAGTCTAATATAGACCACATGGTTTGCTCTATCTAGAATTAGCAGAATAACTAGTTTGGAGAAACTGTATCATTAAGAAATATGACACAGCCTCTTCAGCCCTAAGCCTCGATACTGCACTTATTTTTTTTGGTCTATATTGATACTAGAAAATTATTTTTTTCTTTTAGGGTCACACCCAGCGATGCACAGAGGTTACTCCTGGCTCATGCACTCAAGAATTACTCCTGGCAGTGCTCAGAAGACCATATGGGATGCTGGAAAATGAACTCTTGTGGACCGCGTGCTAGGCAAATGCCCAACCCATTGTGCTATCGCTCCAGCCCCGATACTAGAAAATATTTTTAAGAGGACAAACCATTTTATTTTATTTAGAAGTAAAGCTTAAGTAGAGTGGTTGGGGATGAGGGTATGTTATTCTGAGCTCAGTTCTCTCTAGGATGAGCATCTAGCAACTGGTGTCCATGTAGAAAGACAAAGCTTCTGGGAAGGGCATCTTGGGAATCCCATGGAATATTGAAAAGCCATTGGAAGCAGCAAATCTATGTGGGCATTTGGCTTCATCCCTGGCCTTCTTTTTTCTGTGTAGTGTATGTCAAGCCAACTTTTGAACATTTCAATGTATCCAGTACAGCTAAAAACTGAATTGTTTTGCATTACTTTCTAAGTATATAATGATTTTCTAATTTACTCCTGAAAATTTTCTAAATAATTCCAGTTAAATGGGACTTTTTTTTTCCTCTCCCATTACATACCACTGCTGCTCAAAACTCATTCTAGTTCTCTAGCAGTGGATATGTAAAGATGAGGGGTAAAATTATGATAAAACTATCACAATATCATGATGATAAAACTGTCATGATATATGGAACCTTCAAGAGAAAAGGGCTTCAAGATGACCTTGAAGACTCTGAACTAATGCAGGAATTCTCCTTGTAATTTCCCTATGATTTGGCCAGCAAACTTCCTCCTGTGTATTCACTAGGACTGAGAGTCGCCAGGCCACTGTGCTGCCTCATACTAAATTATAGAAAGATTTTTGATATTTGAAGGGAAAATATACCTCTGTAGAACTTGGTTGATTGTCTTCTATTTACCCAGAAAGCAGTGAACTTCCATTAGCATCAGTGCCCTTGGACAGATAATCAACCAAAATACAGAAAGCATCCTGCTTGGAGTTTCTGGTGTGTGCAGATTTGCTCTGCTTACAAATCAAAAGTATGACCTGCTCTTCCATTCAATTAGCCTTTTCTTAAGTATTTTTTTTATCAAATTATTGAATTTATTTTTCTTTTCTTTCCTTTTCTTTTTTTTTTTTTACAGGAAAGAGTGTGAATGCAGTTCCTCACTACCACAAATTATGCATTTGCATTTCCCACATTTGGGAAATCACTGGGCTCAGCACATAAGGTCAGCACAATAGATAAGCTTCCCCTTGGGAAAAACGCCTTCTTGATCATGGTATCTCCTCTGCCAGGTAAAGTATTGAACTTTTCCTCTAAGGAAACTTTACTGGATCATTTCTAGTGGATTATTCATAACCAGCCATACAAAATTAATTGTTTCGGTTCTGCTTTGGGGGACACGATTTGGGATTTGGGGTGGAAACATTTGAAATATGGTAGTGGGAAGGTGCAATGATGGTGGGATTGGTGTTTGAATATGTAATGAATTATTGTAAACAACTTGATAAAAATAAAATGAAAAACCCACAAATTTATTTATTTCTTTATTTAGCATTTTTAACCACACCCTACAGTGTTCAGTGCTTACCCTTAACTTTATTCACTCAGGACTTACTCTGGTCAGTGTTGAGGGCCCACATGGGGTACCAGGGATTAAACTGAGATTGGCCACAGGCAAGAAGTGCCCTCTGCACTGTATTATAGCTCCAGCCCAGTACTGAATTTGGTCTTTCAAGATCTGTATCTACATGTCAATTGGAAAGTGGGGTTGAGGGAGGGGAGTTTTTATTCAGGACCAGAGAGATAAATCAGTGGGTCAGGTACATATGGCTCCCGAGTCAGGCCAGGAATGATTCCTGAGCAATTCTCAAGAAATCCTTCACCACAGTAGGTATTCCCCCTCAAAAACAATAAAAACCAAATCTAAACTAAATAAAAAGTTGTTTAATTCCTCTTCCCTCTGTTTTGTTGAAGTCCATCATGGGACTTCCCACACATGGGGCTGCTGCCCTTACACTTTAGTGGTGATATTAGAACACACACTATTAGAACATACAATATTAGAACACAGAGACCATGGTCTGGCTGCTCTGCCCCATGATGCCCAAGAGAGGTGCCACGAGAACAGACTTCAGCACCGAGAAGGAGGTTCCTGCAGGCATCAAACCCAGTCTCATATTTGCAAAGTGCCTCAGAGCTATTTGCAAAATACCTCATGAGGAAAAAGCCTGGGGGAACGCTTCTCCCAGATGGGGTTTAGAGGACCCAGCTAACGCCTCCTCCTGGCACTGCTACTCAAAAACCTCCAGGGTATGGTGGGCACAGTGGGGCTTACCTCAGGGGGCCACGAGTTGCCAGGGAACAAACCCATGTCTGCACATGCTAGGCATGAACCCTGACCACTGTACCAATGCCCCATTCCATCGAGTGAAAAATAGTTCAGCAAATTCAGTTCTTTTGGCTTGAGATCCCATCTCGGGTGCAGCTTTCACTTTTTGCTATGGAAAACTCCAAACACATACAAGAGCCGATGGGAGAGTATAATGAATGCCCCTGTTAACACTCACTATAAATATACCAACTTGTGATCAATCTTACTTTATCTTCGTCCTCATATACTTTCCCACCTCCCTGCACTTTTTTTTAAAATAAATCCCAAATACCACATGAAATCATTTATAGTCATTAGGTTTCTCTAAAATATGACTTTTATTTTATTCTGTTTGTTTGTTTGGAGGTCACACCTGATTCGGGGCTTACTCTTGGTACTGAACTCAAAGATCACTCCTTGTGGTGCTTAGGAAACTATAAGTGATGCCATGGATCAAAACGGTGTCTATAACATGCAAGGCAAGAATCTTGAGGCTCTGTACTATATTCCTTGCCCAAATTTGACTGACATTTAACAACTGTATTTTTCTTCCCAAATGAAAAATAATTTCTAAATATCTTCAAGCCTATAATCATTGCTCATATTTCTAAAACATATTATCCTAGCTCTGTATCTCTTTCTAGCTCTTCATTTTTTGGAACCAAGATATAAATCAGGATGTCCGCATAAATATTTACCATTAAAATTGGATTGTATATTGCTTGTCTCTTCTAATCAGTTGCTGTACTATTCATCTCATTTCTATTTCTCCTTCCAATAAATTTATTAAAGAAAGTATATGCCATCAAAATACAAATGATATATTTGTAAACAGATGACCTTTTTCATTTTGATTTTCATTTCCACCAGTGTGGTTTTTTGTAGTTTTGTTCCAGAAGTGTGATTTCTGAATCAAAGGGTAAATGTATATATGCTTTCAATTTCTTACAATATTGTCAAATATAGTAACATTGCAAAAATTGTCACCAAAGATATCGTGATACTTTGCTTTTTTTAACTATCTAACAACCATACATGAGGGATATTGCCCTGAGGCCATTTTGCAGCTGAGAAAACTAAAATTAAAGGAGAAGTATTTGAAGAGAGCTTCTAGATTTCGATGAATCTTTCCTCCTAGTATAAGCTTATTCTGTTTCTTGCCCACATGATAATATTTGATTTATGTTTATAGCAATTAGTAAAATTTTTCAATAAGATTAGAATACCTTAACAACTACCAAAGTACTTGCTTCCAGACTGACACTGATTGAGCATCTTGAATTTATCTTAATGTCTATCTTATATATTCCCACCAACTACTATGAGATTATATACAATGCCACTAAAAATAAAAATGCACCTGTTATCAGTGCCTTTCTCCTAAAATACCATGTTGGATATGTGATGTGTTAGTTAAGATAGTGACCACTGAACTCAGACAAATAGAACTTGCGTCACATCTCCATCATTCGAATGTTTGTTGGATTGGTTGTATAATCATCTGTGACTCTGCTTCATCATTTGCAGTATCAGTGTTTAATATTTTAAAAGTATTTGCTGCGGTGTGATGCATTGTGTGTCATGACAATTATAGAACAACAATACATTTAAAGAACTTAAAATGGTACTTCACACGTAATAAGTTTCCCAAAAATGTTGGTTAAGAAATGAAAGATATTTGTGGCCACAAAGGACCAAATCCAACACAATGGATGAAGTAATATAACTGAGTTTACATGTATGTGTATGTGTGTGAACGGGGGGTGGGAATGGGGCAGGTTTGGGGTGGGGGAATGGTGTGAAGATAGAACGGAAGGGACATTGGGGTTCTTGAGGGACACTGGTTATGAGTAGTGTGCTATTGGAATTATGTATATTATATATATATATATATATATGTAGGCCATTTAACTTCACCTAATCTTTCTTCTCAGTTTTTTGTATTCACTATGATGACCATATGTTTTGAGCCTCATTTGAGAAGTGAGGCTAGAGACAGAATCCCTCAAATCCTCCCAAGATCTGGGAGAGACTCAAAGGGTTGGAGCAAAGGTTTTGTATATAGAAAGCCCCAGGTTCAGCCTCAGTACCACACAGTCCCAAGAGCACAGCCCTGGAAGTGGACCCTGAGCACCATCCACGTGACCCTGCCTTCTCCTCTAAAAAATTATCCAGGAGACCCATGTTCATTAGAAGGAATACTTTTTATGAGAGAGACAGCAGTGAGTTCCGGAAGATAGGCGCTTGCAGAGATCTCTCTGGGCCGCATACAAAGTCAATTCCACCGGGGCATCTCAGGTGGTGCAGTGTGCCTTCTTCACCCACTTCAGATGAAAGTGGCCACAAGTTTCCAGAAGCAAAACCCAGGCTTCAGGGACTAAGAATCCAGGCCTCATAGCGGCAGCAGGGATTGGCCATCCCTTCCCATCTTCCTGCCCACTTGGGGTCCTGGTTTTTAGGCCCATGATCTGCCTCCAGGCGCCATCTCAGCACATTAATGGCCTGGTTGAGACTCCCATATGAATTTCAAAATGGATTAGCTCCCTACAGAGATGTCTCTGGACCCCAACTATTTACGATTTTGGAATTCCAGAAGCGACCTCTCATGATATTCATAATAAGCGATAGAAAATAAATTATTTAGCATCTGCCCTGGCAGGCAGGCTTGAATGGTGGTGGGAAAATTCCAGCAAACCATAATATCCAAAAGTAGAGAGAGAGTATGGGGGAAATTGTGTGCCATGGAGGCAGGGGTAGGGCTGGGATAGGGGGAGGGGGATACTGGGGACATTGGTGGTGGAAAATGTGCACTGGTGGAGGGATGGATGTTTGATTATTGTATGGCTGAAACATGAAAGCTTTGTAATTGTATCTCACGGTGTTTCAATTAAAAAAACATTAAAACAAAATAAAGAATACCTTTTTCAACATTCGGATGACTAAATTTTGATTTCTTCATCAACCCGATTTAGTCAGATTGTCTGCACATGCAAGAATGCAAAAAACCACCACTGTCCACTTTCGGCAAACAAAGTACCATTATATAAACATTTATTAATAATAGATGGCACAATGAACCTAAAATGAACTCGGAAAAATTCCCAGGTACTTTTCAGAAAATAATTCCCATGATCAGCTTTGCCTTTGAAGAGTAGAATGCATTATCTCACTTGGAGCTGAAGAGACTTGTACAAGCCTATGGACAAAAGCAAACAGTGATTAGATAAACCCCCTGATCTCCTCCTTACACACACACACACACACACACACACACACACACACAGTGTAAATAGTTGTGGGAGAAGCCCCTGGCCAGGCTAGGCCAAGCCCCATAGAATATGCTTCCTTAGAATAGAATATTCTCCCTGAGCTCTTCCCAGTAGAAATGCAAAAGACGCCCTATGAAAGCTACAGAAATTCAGTTCTTGGTTTTTTGTTTTCCATTTGAATGTTGGGTAGGTTTGAGTTTAGCTGATTATATGAAAGGTAGGGATTTTTTTTTTCAGGGTACATTATTCAACCATAAAGTTCAGAGATGATACTAAGATTTAAAGGCCCAAGCTGACACAGGACATAGTTTATAATAAGAAAAAAAATCACATAGTCACTAAAACAAAATCTCAGACTTACTTCTCCCCCCAGACCCTTTTATAGATCAGGACTTGACATCTATTTAGCTGTATCAGTCCTCAAGGACTCCAAAGACTGGTGGCATATGGGCCTCTGGTGGAAGCTTATAACCCTGAATGTGAGTTTATGTACTAAAATGAATGACATACAACTGGTTTTTGAGTGCACAGGTCACAGAGAGAAATGTGACTAGTTTCATAAGTCTGATGTTCTAGATATCAAAACCACGAAACAATGTGTTGCACCCCAGAGGAATGATCATTAGGGCATTTGTGTTACAAGTCCCCGCCAATATTTATG